CAAATGTGTGCTAAAGGAATAACAGGAAAAGTCGGTCAATGGATCTATAATTTCCTCTCTAACAGAACACAGAGAGTAGTAGTCAACAGAGTAAAGTCCGAGGCAGCTACGGTGAAAAGCTCTGTTCCACAAGGCACAGTACTCGCTCCCATCTTGTTCCTCATCCTCATATCTGACATAGACAAGGATGTCAGCCACAGCACCGTGTCTTCCTTTGCAGATGACACCCGAATCTGCATGACAGTGTCTTCCATTGCAGACACTGCAAGGCTCCAGGTGGACATCAACCAAATCTTTCAGTGGGCTGCAGAAAACAATATGAAGTTCAACGATGAGAAATTTCAATTACTCAGATATGGTAAACACGAGGAAATTAAATCTTCATCAGAGTACAAAACAAATTCTGGCCACAAAATAGAGTGAAACACCAACGTCAAAGACCTGGGAGTGATCATGTCGGAGGATCTCACCTTCAAGGACCATAACATTGTATCAATCAAATCATCTGCTAGAAAAATGACAGGATGGATAATGAGAACCTTCAAAACTAGGGAGGCCAAGCCCATGATGACTCTCTTCAGGTCACTTTTTCTATCTAGGCTGGAATATTGCTGCACATTAACAGCACCTATCAAGGCAGGTGAAACTGCTGACCTAGAAAATGTACAGAGAACCTTCACGGCACGCATAACGGAGATAAAACACCTCAATTACTGGGAGCGCTTTAGGTTCCTAAACCTGTATTCCCTGGAACGCAGGCGGGAGAGATACATGATTATATACACCTGGAAAATCCTAGAGGGACCAGTACCGAACTTGCACACGAAAATCACTCACTACGAAAGCAAAAGACTTGGCAGACGATGCAACATCCCCCCAATGAAAAGCAGGGGTGTCACTAGCACGTTAAGAGACCATACAATAAGTGTCAGGGGCCTGAGACTGTTCAACTGCCTCCCAGCATACATAATGGGGATTACCAACAGACCCCTGGCAGTCTTCAAGCTGGCACTGGACAAGTACCTAAAGTCGGTTCCTGACCAGCCGGGCTGTGGCTCATACGTTGGTTTGCGTGCAGCCAACAGTAACAGCCTGGTTGATCAGGCTCTGATCCACCAGGAGGCCTGGTTACAGACCGGGCCACGGGGGCGTTGACCCCCGGAACTCTCTCCAGGTAAACTCCAGATAGAATGCAGGGGAAGCCGCATCCGACCCCATTGTTTTGACAGGCTGGAGGGGGAGTGAGTAATGAGATAATATGTCATTTTGACAGCTGCTGACTCCTGACTCAAAACAATTATAAGCCACACACTCGCACACAAGACAAGCTTGATGAATAAAGATAATAGCAGTTATATGAAAGTATCTAGTGACTGTATATGTGTATATATATTATAGAAACCAGAAGAAAGAAGGGAAGGCAGGAAGAAGGAAGGACAGATGAAGGAATGTAGGAAGAGAAGTAGGAAAGGAATGCAGGAAAGAATGAAGGAAAGGAATGAAGGGAAGGAATGAAGGAAAGGAATGCAGGAAAGGAATGAAGGAAAGGAATGCAGGAAAGGAATGAAGGAAAGGAATGCAGGAAAGTAGGGAGGAAGGAATGATGACACACAACCATTTACCTAGGATAACTACATAACACAACTGCCTGCTAATACTTTGAAGAAAACTGCTCAGACGAGGTGTTTTGTCTTTGCACATAAAAAAAAACTTCCACAAAAATGCACACACACTGGTTTTATGTGTGAGGAATGTAAAACACCATTGTGCATGACACCATGTTTTATGTGTGAGGAGTGTAAAACACCACTGTGTATGACACCATGTTTTATGTTTGAGAGTGTAAAACACCACTGTGTATGACACCATGTTTTATGTGTGAGAGTGTAAAACACCATTGTGTATGACACCATGTTTTATGTGTGAGGAGTGTAAAACACCATTGTGTATGACACCATGTTTTACGTGTGAGGAGTGTAAAACACCATTGTGTATGACACCATGTTTTATGTGTGAGAGTGTAAAACACCATTGTGTATGACACACCATGTTTTATGTGTGAGAGTGTTAAAAACACCATTGTGTATGACACCATGTTTTATGTGTGAGAGTGTAAAACACCATTGTGTATGACACCATGTTTTATGTGTGAGGAGTGTAAAACACCATTGTGTATGACACCATGTTTTATGTTTGAGAGTGTAAAACACCACTGTGTATGACACCATGTTTTATGTGTGAGGAGTGTAAAACACCATTGTGTATGACACCATGTTTTATGTGTGAGAGTGTAAAACACCACTGTGTATGACACCATGTTTTATGTGTGAGAGTGTAAACACCACTGTGTTGACACATGTTTTATGTGTGAGAGTGTAAAACACCACTGTGTATGACCACCATGTTTTATGTGTGAGAGTTGTAAAACACCACTGTGTATGACACCATGTTTTATGTGTGAGGAGTGTAAAAACACCATTGTGTTATGACACCATGTTTTATGTGTGAGAGTGTAAAACACCACTGTGTATGACACCATGTTTTATGTGTGAGAGTGTAAAACACCACTGTGTATGACACCATGTTTCACAGAGTTACACAAGCTGCAGAACTTCTAGGAATATGTTCAGTGACTGTATATTGGTATATATATTATAGAACAATAGTAATAAAAAATTTTTTGTATTGTTTTTGTAAACAAGTTTTGTAAACAATATATTGATTATTATGTTTGTGTGCTTATTGTGTTGTATACAACGAGTGTATATATGTACATTGCACCTTACTTTGGTCTCACAGGCCACATAAGTTATGTGAAAAAATAAAATAGTGAAAAAAACAAAAAACCTTCAAATACAAGTCTAAAGTTTACCGGGTGAGCGGCAGTCGCCGCTGTTGCCATGCGCGGCTCATTTTCTGCAAACTTCACAGCTCTATATCTTGGTAAGTACTGATGCCAAAATTTTTTTTTTGAACTAAAACACTCAGAAAAATAATCTTAACATTTTCATAAGAAAAAATATTTTTTTTTTTTTCAAATATTTTGCAACATAGAATGACAGTTTCAGAAAGGGGCTTGCGACAGTCAAAGGGTTAAGCTGATGTTCCAAATTCCTATTTTGACTAAAAAAACAAGATGGCAATCTGGAAATTCAAATGAAGAACACATTCAAGAGATAACACCCGGTGGCCTGGTGGCTAAAGCTCCCGCTTCACACACAGAGGGCCCGGGTTCGATTCCCGGCGGGTGGAAACATTTCGACACGTTTCCTTACACCTGTTGTCCTGTTCACCTAGCAGCAAATAGGTACCTGGGTGTTAGTCGACTGGTGTGGGTCGCATCCTGGGGGACAAGATTGAGGACCCCAATGGAAATAAGTTAGACAGTCCTCGATGACGCACTGACTTTCTTGGGTTATCCTGGGTGGCTAACCCTCCGGGGTTAAAAATCCAAAGGAAATCTTATCTTATCTCCATATCTCATAAGCTCAGACCTAACTACCTCAATGCACACTGACCTGAAATATATTTTGTGTATGTGGCAAGATTTTGAAAAAAAAAAAAAAGAGTGGATTTTTATGATCTGAATACGACTAACTTGAGAAGAATCTGATGAAAATTTGTGACTTTATGGTGTGGTGAATTTGGTGTAAATGATCAGTCTTAGGCAACAGCGGCATAAATGCACAGCAATATTTACATTTTACAATTTACCAATGCCAAATTACTTTTGTTTCAGTGTCTTAGTTTTTAATGTTTAACACTGTGCACTAGTTTCAAATATTAGACGTGTTTCAAGGTGTTTTAGTACTTCAAACATGGGAAAACTCATTCTAGGTTTGAAGCCAATCAAAACAGACTTTCTCAAGTTACCCCATAGAAACCAATATCAGATTTTTTTTTTAACGCACCGGCCATGTCCCACCAAGGCAGGGCGAACTAAAAACAAAAGCAAAAGTATTACTTTTTATTTTTTTATTTATTTTTTTATTAACACATTGGCCATTTCCCACCAAGGCAGGGTGGACCAAAAAAGAAAAACTTTCACCATCATTCACTCCATCACTGTCCGGCCAGAGGCCCACTTACACTACAGTTTAAAACTGCAACATTAACACCCCTCCTTCAGAGTGCAGGCACTGTACTTCCCATCTCCAGAACTCAAGTCCGGCCTGCCAGTTTCCCTGAATCCCTTCATAAATATTACCCTGCTCAAACTCGAACAGTACGTCAAGTCCTGAAAACCATTTGTCTCCATTTGCTCCTATCTAACACACTCACACATGCTTACTGGAAGTCCAAGCCCCTCGCACACAAAACTCCCTTTACCCCCTCCTTTCAACCTTTCCTAGGCTGACCTCTACCAAGTCTTCCCTCCACTACAGATTTATACACTCTCAAAGTAATTCTATTTTGTTCAATCTTCTCTACATGTCTGAACCACCTCAACAACCCCTCCTCTGCCCTCTGGATAATAGTTTTGGTAATCCCACACCTCCTCCTAATTTCCAAACAATGAATTCTCTGCATTATATTCACACCACACCTTAGACATGACATCTCCACTGCCTCCAGCCTTCTCCCTGTTGCAACATTCACCACCCATGCTTTGCATCCATATAAGAGCATTAGTATAGCTATACTCGCATACATTCACCTCTTTGCTTCCATGGACAAAGTTCTTTGTCTCCACAGACTCCTCAGTGCACCACTCACGTTTTTCCCCTGGTCAATTTTAGGTGAAGGGGATACCCAGTAAGTCATCCAGCACCTGGTGAATAGGAGGTAATCAAGTTTGTTCTGAGGTAGAGGAGAGTACCTCATATTCCTTGTAACAAGAACCCTTGACCAGCATCAAGGAGCCCTCTTCAAGGGTGAGCTTCACTAAAGTATTACAAGATAAAATGAATCACTGATACAGTACAAGGTGATCAGATAAAGTGATTCTTTTGAAAGTTTACAGTCTGTAACCAAATGATAGAAACTTAAGAGAAACTTACTAGGTATTTGTCTGTAAGTAATTTAACAACCTGGGTCTGCTGTTCTCTCCAAGCTGGAAATGCTTCAGCATAATCAGCTTGCACCTGAAGAAGATTGACCTATGAATACTTAGCAATACAATCCCCTAATTCAAGTTACTTTATATATATAATATATATATATATATATATATATATACAGTGGACCCCCGCATAACGATCAGCTCCCAACTCGACAACAAATTATGTAAGTGTACTTTTGTAAGTGCTTTTGTAGGTGCATTTTTTGGGGGTCTGAAACGGACTAATCTAATTCACAATATCTCTTATGGGAACAAATTTGGTCTATAACGGCACCCAAACGACTTCTGGAGTGAAATAATCGTTATCCGGGGGTCCACTGTATATATATATATATTATTTAATATATTTATATATATATATATATTATATATATTTTAATATTATATATATATTATATATATATATATATATATATATATATAGATACAGAAAGGCCCCTGCTTTACGGTGTTCCGCTAATATGGCGATGTCAAATTATGCCCAAAAATTTGCTTTACGGCAAGCGGTCTTTTAAATACGGCGCCCCCACCGGTTTGTTTACATTTTCCGTGCCCAAAATCTATTATGTCAGGAAATTTTCCCAAAAATTTCAAGTGTTTTAAGTTACTGCATATTTTATATGCACTCTGATAATTATATTATGTATCCCTGTACTTAAATATACTTCACACTGTGTGGTGGTGCAAGGTACACATTAAAATCGCTAAGTCTCTCTTACTCATGACGCCATTACTACGTAATAATAATCACTCTTGGGCACACTAAATGTCTTATTTTACATCAATACTGTATAGGCATTTTCATTAATCCATCTACGATATTTTCCTCAAAATTATATATGAAACCCATTACATAGCATATAAACATGATACATACACTCAGAATAAAAATTGATGTAAATATGAGATTTGTTTACAAAGCAGCTGTGTTGGTAGTGTCGGAAGAATTTTCTCTAGTCAAACACTGGGGGTTAACTGTAGAAAAATATTCTTTTCGTATGCCTTTACTCTATGTATAGCAATTCACGACCCTTGTGGTTTAGCGCTTTTTATAATAAAAAAATAATAATAATAATAATAATAATAATAATTATTATTATTAAATTAATAATAATAATAATAATAATTTATTTTTTAATATTAATAATAATATTATTATTAATATTAATAATAATATTATTATTATTTTATTATTATTAATATTATTATCTTCATTCACTCTTAAAAATGGTGTGTTGCTGTTTGTTTATTCTGAATAAAAACGTGTAAAACAATGTAAGAGTTTTGTATTGTGAGGTAATTTTTATTAAAAAAAAAAATATTGAGGTAACTGTTTTACAAACTCTTACAAATGGACGTGAATGAACTAAAAGTAGGCACATATTAATACACATTTCGCCTGACCAAGTGATCGTCCACTACTGTTCAGTTTGTGTTCTTACATTGTCTCAACTCTGTATCTCGTTCTCTCTCTCGTTTACTCTTTCGTTAACTAGTTGGCTCTCATTGACGATGGCGTCTAAGGTTAGCTGTAATAAAAAGAGAAGTCGTAAGCCTCTTGCTTTAAGTGCCAAGTTAGAGGATGATGGTGTGCCATTTTGATTTTATTCAAATAAACACCCTGCCACTCACCTCTCACACATTTAAAATTAATATTTTAAGGTAAGTAATAAGTGTACTCTGTGTGTATCTTACCCCTTTTTTTGTGTTTTTTAATGCCCTTTTTTATTGCTAACTTAATATAAGTTGGTGTAAACTTGTTGTCTGGGATTTATTGATATTTTATATGCTCTGATAATAATACTTGTGGAGCCGGGTGGGGGGGGACAACATTTCGTTTTCTCTGTTCAGCCCTCAGAGAAAAAAATGTAGAAACTGCGTTTGGCCCAGCCACTCCCCCACTCCGCTTTTGTTTACAATTTTCGGCATGAATTATTCATTACTTCTACCTTCGTTTATGATGGCATCTAAAGGTAGTTGTTAGAAATGATTAAATTCAGTGAATAAGGCATGTCGATTGTTAATAATATGGCTCTGGGCCACAGTGTAGGTAGCCGGTAGGTATAGCCCAGGCTACACCTACTGGCTACACCTACCGGCTACACTTACCGGCTACCTACACTAACTTTATACAAATAAATACTACTCACCTCTCTTCCTATATTAAGACTACAGCATATTTAAGGTAAATAATGGAGTGTACTGTTAGGTGCATTTTACCTCTCTGGGATGTTTTAAAATATCTATATATTAGGTATGAGACGGCGGAGCCAGTGCTACTACACCTGGGCTACTGCACCTGACTTCCTACAAAATAAGTATTACTCACCTCTCTCCCTACATTAAGATTACAGATTACTTTAGATAAAGTAAGTAAGAATTTACTGTGACTGTATTTTGCTTGTGTTTTACATGCCTTAGTTCTTTTATCTAAACGTAATATAATTTTAGTAGTAAACTTGTTGTTCTGGCATTGATAGCAGTTATTAAATGGGAAAAATGGACTGCAGTTCTGCTTCTGGCGATTGTCTGCTTTCCAGCGACAGCCTGGAACCTAACCGCCGTATAAGTGGGGCCCTTCTGTATATATGTAGATATATATATATATTAAATATGATATATATATATATATATATATATATATTTATATATTATATATATATTATATATATATATATAATATTTAAATATTATATATATGGGGAGTTGTCACAGCTGCTCTTTCTGATGACACTGTGCTTTGGGAGATTCTGAAGAGAAGTTGCAGAGATTGGTGGATGGAATTTGGTGGCGTGTGCAAAGAAGAAAAATTAAAGGTGAATTACAGGAACGAGTAAGGTTATGAGGATAACAACAAGATTAGGTGATGAAAGAATTGAATATCAGATTGGAGGGTGAGAGTAGGGGAGGAGTGTTGAGTTTTCAGATATTTGCGGACGTGGACGTGTCAGCGGATGGGCTCTATGAAAGTGAGGTGAATTCATAGATTGATGAGGGAAAAGAGTGACGTGGTGCCACTTAGGAGTCTGGAGGACATAAGAACTTTGTCCTGGGAGGCAAAAAAGAGGGGAATGTATGAGAGTATTGTTTTCCCAACGCTCTTCATATGGGGTGAAGCGTGGGTTGAGGAATTTGCAGCGAGGAGAAGGCTGGACGGACAGTGGAGATGGTCATGTGTTGAGGGGCAAATGTGTGGTGTGAATATAATGCAGAGAATTCGTTGTTTGGAAGTTAGGAGGAGGTGCGGGATTACCAAAATGTTGTCCAGAGGGTGAGGAAGGGTTGTTGGAGGTGGTATGGACAGTAGAGAGAATGGAGCGAATCAGGACATGACTTCATGAGTTGTATCAGTCTGTCGTGGAAGGAAGGCGGAGGTAGGGTCGGCCCTAGGGAGGGTTGGAGGGAGGGGGTATAGGAGGTTTTGTGTGCGAGGGGGCTTGGACTTCCAGCTAGGCATGCGTGAGCGTGTTTGTTAGGAGTGATTGGAGACAAATAGGTTTTTAATAAATTGGCGTGCTGTTGGGAGTGTGAGCAAAGATATACATTTATGAAGGGATTCAGGGAAAACCGGCAGGACGCCGGATTGAGGTCGCTGGAGTGGGAAGTACAGTGGCCTGCACTCTGAAGGAGGGGTGTTTAATGTTGCAGAGTTTAAAAAACTGTGTTGGTTAAGCACCTTCTGGAACGACGTGTAGTGATGGAGTTGTAATGATGGTTGAAAGTTGTTTCTTTTTCGGGCCAACCTCCTGCCTTGGTGGAACTCGGCCCGGCTGTGATATAAAAAAAAAAAATTATTATATATATATATATTATATATATATATATATTATATATTAAATATATATATATATATATATATATATATATATACAGTGGATCCCGGTTTACGTATTTTTTTCACTCCAGAGTATGTTCAAGTGCCAGTACTGAAGTAATTTGTTCCCATAGCAATATTGTGAAGTAAGATTAGTCATTTCGACCCCAAACATACCGTACCAAACGCACTTAATTTATACACTTACATAATTGGTCAATTCGGAGTAATCGTTATGCGGTGTGTCCACTGTACTTTTATATATTCTATATAATATATATATACTATATATATATACTATTTATATATATTTTTATATATATATATATATATATATATTTATATACGATCCCCTATTAAGCTTGCCTGAAATGCTGAGCATAATATGGAATTTTTTACAACAACTGTTATTATTAGAATACACATCTATTGTACTACATCTATGTCTGTAATATTTTTTTTATTATCGCATCAGCCATTTACCACCGACGGCGAGTTGACCTGTATGTAAAGTAGAAAACACTTTTTAACAAATGGCTGCGGAGCAGATGATTACCAAGCTCCTGTTTTTTGCCTAATTACCAGCACACCACACCACTTTACAATAGCCTGAATCTACTAAATATACGAGACATACACTTATATTACTGTGCTACTATATATACAGAACAGGAAAACTCCAATATAAACACTCCTCACTTAAAACTTCTTCTTGATAGCATACAAAGATCTACACAGTCACTTAACAAGGCACAAGGCGCACTCTTTGCATACCCTCATGTCAGTCTCACACTATTTGCAAAATGCAATGACTTTACAAGGGCCTGAAAGATCTGGAATTCACTGTTCTGAACCTTTTAAGGAATCCCCTCTGAAAACTACAAATTTAAGACTATGCTTAAAAAATCATTTCTTCACTCAATACTAACAAAACCCAACCAAAACAACTTCTAACCAGTTTGAAGCAACTACCAAAGATTATATTATATGAATCGAGTCCTGAAGTAATAGGTGTCCGTGGTAGACAGCTAAACCGCCAGGGGGGGAGGTTACTGCTGTCCTGCCAAGTGAGTGTTTAAACAAAAAGCTGTAATTGTTTTACATGGATGGCAGGATTGCTGGTGTCTTTTTTCTGTCTCATAACATGCAAGATTTCAGGTACATCTTGACTACTTCTACTGACACTTAGCGTCTCAATACACATGCTA